CCTTGACTATAGGAGCAGGTGAGGGACTACATTTGTGCATACTGAATTTTTTAAGATCTTTTCTATGTATGCCTTTTGTGATAGTCCTAATACCCCTTTACTTCTATCTCGGTGAATCTCAATCCCTAGAACGAACAAAGCTTCACCAAAATCTTTCATATCAAATTTTGAGGACAAAAACTTCTTTGTCTCCAGCAGTAGACTGACATCACTACTAGCAAGTAAGATATCATCCACATTCAGGACAAGAAAGATAAACTTCCCATTCTTAAACTTTGCATAGACACAATTGTCCTCTACATTCTCTTTAAACCCAAAATTTCTTATTGTCTGATCAAACTTCAAGAACCACTGTCTTGAAGCCTGTTTTAATCCATAAATGAATTTCTTTAGGCGGCATCCCATTTGTTCTTTTCCTTTCATGACAAAACCTTTTGGTTATGCCATGTAAACATTTTCCTCCAAGTCCCCGTTGAGAAATGTCGTCTTTACATCCATCTGATGTAATTCTAAATCGTAATATGCCACTAATGCCATTATGATTCTGAAGGAATCCTTACATGAGACTGGAGAAAAGATCTTATTGTAATCAATCCCTTCTCTTTGTGTAAAGCCTTCTACCACAAGTCATGCTTTATATCTCTATATTCCCTTAAGAGTCAAGTTTTATTTTATAGACCCATTTACAGCCTATTGTTTTGGCTCTTTTAGGAATTATTTCCAAGTCCCAAACTTTATTGGTATTCATAGATTTTATTTCATCTTCCGTGGCCTCAAGCCACTTTGATGAATGATCACTTCTCATGGCTTCTTCAAATGAGGTGGGATCATCCTCCATTTGAAAATCCTCAGTGGTGTATACTTCATAGTCAGCAGGAATAGCTGATTTTCTAACTCTTTGAGACCTTCTAGGGGCCTCCACATTTGGCACATGTTCTGTTTGAGGCTGTTGTTGCTCCCCCTCATGTGTGGCAATAGGTTCTACAGGATCCTGAAGAACAGGTTCCTTATCGTCATTCATTGTTGCCACAGGCGGAATAACAACAGGTGCTAGCACCACAGTATCTTACACTATCGGTCCAGAGACAACAGGTAATGAGAAAAATGACTCATGAATCATTGGAGTGGGCGCATACACCCGCTTCTCTTCAAGGTCAATTTCTTGAGCTACCATGCTCCCCCTCATCATTTCATCCTCTAGGAAGACGGCGTGTCTTGTTTCCACAAACTTTGTATGTCTGTCTAGACAGTAGAAACGAAAACCTTTTGACTTTTCTGGGTAGCCAATGAAATGGCAACTTACTATTTTGGGATCTAGTTTTCTAATGTTTGGGTTAAATACTTTAGCCTTAGCAGGACTCCCCTCCACACATAAGTGGTTTAGTGAGGGCACTCTTCCTGTCCACAACTCATACGGTGTTTTGGGCACCGACTTACTTGGTACTCTATTGAGAATATGAATGGTGGTTTTTAACGCCTCCATCCACAGGCTCAACGGTAAGGTGGAGTCACTTATCATACCGTGCACCATATCCATCAGGGTACGATTATGTCTTTTAGCTATTCCATTCTGCTGAGGTTCGCTTGGTGTAGAATACTAGGCTACTATGCCATTCTCCTGTAAGAACCTTGCAAAAGGTCCAGGAACTTGGCCATATGTGGTATGCCGACCGTAGTACTCCCCCCACGGTCGGACCTGACTATCTTAATCTTTAAAATATGTTGGTTTTCAACTTCTGTCATAAATATCTTAAATTTATCCAATACTTCTGTTCTTTCTTTTATTGGATAAATATAGCCATAACGGGAGTAATCATCTGTGAATGTTATGAACGAATCATAACCATCCACACTCTTTATGGGAAACGGACCACATATGTCTGTGTGAATAATCTGTAAAATTCATGTGTTTCGTTTGGCATCTTTCTTAATTTTCTTTACATACTTTTCTTTTATGCATTCTCTGCATTGTTTTTAAATCTGAGAACTCTAATGGAGGAAGAATATTATTCTTAAATGGACCATAGATGTCAGTGTGAATAATCTGTAAAATTCCTACGCTTCGTTTGGCATCTTTCTTAATTTTCTTTACATACTTTTCTTTTATGCATTCTCTGCATTGTTCTAAATCTGAGAACTCTAATGGAGGAAGAATATCATTCTTAACTAGTCTTTCTATTCTCCCCCACGAAATATGGCCTTAACGATAGCGCCATAATTTCGACGACGCATCGTGAGCTCTCTTTTGTTTTCTGTTTACATCCGCAGACAAGGATACATTCTCATTGTCGCATGCAACGTTCCCATCATTGCATACAACATTCACATCATCACGTATTGATAACAAATAAAGCTCATTTTGTATGATAGCAAGACCAACACATGTATTATTAAATGTTATCTTATATTTGCCATTTCTAGAGTACCTTTCTGTCACCAGCTGCTTTATCAGCTGGGTAGCATATGTCTTTGAAGAGCCAGTGAACTGATTTTTTATTCTATCGAGGTACTCGATGATCGTGTCATACTCTGGGATTGAGCCAACAATTGCAGGCTCAATCGTGTTCTTTATCATAGCCAAACATTTCTTGTTAGCAGTGACTCACTTCCTATGCTCAAGGTCATAGGATATCTTTTGGGATTCAAAATCCCTCTCTTTAGTTGTCCAAGCGGCATCAGCCTCATTTGTCTCCCTCACCGGTGCCACAGGCTCAGTGGGACACGATGAGGTGACTTCCCAGTCCACCTCAGCCAAGATGAAGGTCAGGTTAATCTTTTTCTTCCACTCCGTGTAGTTGTCACCTTTGAGAGTGGGGATCTCTTTGATACAACCCATCAAATTGTATCTGCCTGGCAACACAATTCATATAGAATGAGAACATAAATAATAATAACAATTGCATGCCTTGATTACAACGTTGGTAAAAATTAAAACATATAACTGTTCTTATACACTAATTCTACATCACCGTTGGGTAGAAATAGAATTAATGCATAAAATTATTAAAATTACGATATTGTTATTAACAACGTTGGTCAGAAAATAACAACATCATAATCATATCAAAATCTCTTTTTCTCTAATTAAATATCACGTTGGTTCAAAATAACTGGAGAATAAACAATTTCTTTAGCAGCGGAAAACGTAAAAAATTATCTATTTTTCAGAAGCTTTTCTTGTTCATATCTACTTTCTGGAAAAAATAACACGTTGGTAAAAAAAATTGTCTAATTTTACCATAAATTTTAAACCTTTGAAATTCATTAAAATTCATTCAAATCAGCTTCTGAAATTAAACAAAACAAAAAATTGCTCTTCTATTCATTTTGGCCTACTGCGAGAGCGAAGAATCGCCGATCAAGAATGATCAGATGCTGCCGGCCCACGCCGCCACAGAAGAAATTTCACGACGCTGCCGCCCGCACCCAGCCGCAAACTGGGCTGGGCGAGAAGCGGCCTCCCGCTTGTGCCCGACTGGGCCTGATTCTGGCCCGGTCATCGTCGCTCGTCCATTCCAATCGGACGGTAGCGCGCGGATAGGGAGAACAAAACCCCACCACGCGGCATCCTCCCCCGAACCCTAACACATTCGGCTGCCTCTTTTCTCTCTCTCTCTCTTCACCGCGCTCTTTTCTCCTCCCCTCAGCACAGCCGCAGCGAGCGACCGAGAGACGGTGGACCATGGCGTCGTCGCCGGCGTGTGCGCTCCTCAACGGGTGAGCGCACCACCGTCGAGGGGCCTAGCCGCGGCGCCCTTGGCCCGTTCAGCCTTCTTCTCGCGCGGCGGCGAGGTGGCAACGTGGTGCACAGCGAGGTAGGACCATTCCCCTTCTTCCCCTTTCTCTTTTCTTCATCTATTTTTGGATCTTTTCCTCTGTTCTTCTCGGATTTCATCCGATTGGAGATTAGGGTTAGGGTTAAGACAAGTTAGGGTTAGGGTTTGACTCACTGGAGTCACTGTTCATCTTCACCAGTGAGTGTTTTGTGGGTTAGGGTTCGGCGACCCTCTTCTTTTCTCAGTGCTTCACCCGATTAGGGTTAGCTACCAGTGGCCGTCGGTCTAGCTCCGGCGAGCCGCCTCCCATGCCCTTTCCCCTTTACCCTTCTCTGTCTTTAGATCTTGATGTGTTCTTCTTGGTTCTTTGCTGATTGGGGATTAGGGTTAGGGTTAGGGTTTTGTTAGGGTGAGGATTAACCCGATTCGTTTTTCTTTCGTTTTGGGTTCGGTTGAACCCTCTGATCTTTTCTTGCCGCGCGCCAACGAAGACGGCGGTGCGGCACCTTTCCTCGCGCGGTGGCGGTGGTGACCCACAATTGAGTGACGCCCGCCACCTCCCCGGTGTCTTTTCATTTTCTTTTACCCGGTTAGGGTTAGGGTTTCAATCTGAACCGAATCGAACCCTCTGATCTTTTCTTCGATTTCTTTTCAATTCTCTACCTCATACTAGATCTACACACTGTTAACCTGGCATTGATACCATTGTTGTAAAACACAGTGCATCTGAAACGTAGATCAGTGGTAAGCATCTTACTTAGATGGGCAAACTATTGATGTACCTCGCCCTAGGTCATCATTCAGTCCATAGCGCCGCAGCTTCTTGGACGCCGGTGTCGTGGCAGCTCGGCGCAGTGGAGTCCAGCGTAGTGGTGGCGAGGTCTAGTGGCGATATAGAGGCGACGGTGAGGTTGGTGGCGGCGAAATCAGTGGGTCTTCCCGTCACTGGCTGCATCCTCTTTAGATCGGGTTAGGTTTTCTGTTGGTGGGTCACGGCGGCTCCGGTCAACCTCGTAGTTAGAGCCCTGATCCCCACCTCTCTTTATAGTGCTGTGCAACAGGGGCCCACCAACCATATTATGGTTGGGCGCCCCCGATCAGGGCGCAGATCCAAGGACCCAATAGACGCATTGGTGGAGATCAACTAACATGCTGGACTTGACATCTCGATGTGCTATAGGTGGACATAAATCATGGTGCATGTAGCTCAGTCCTTTAGCTGCATCAATTGCTATTGACATCCTCATTGGCCAATTTAACTGTTCAGTTGTCAGATCTCTCTGATGCAACCAATCATATAGGCTACCATGTTCCATGTATTCATAGATCAGGAGCTTCGACTCGGAGGTTGATATGAAGCCAAGCAGCTTGACAATGTTAGCATGCCTGATAGATCCAAGAGTCCCAATTTCAGCTTGAAACTGTTTTTCCAGCATACCATCCTTCTTTAGGCCATTACCTATTTTCTTGACAGCTATCTTGCAGTTGTTACCGAGGCATATCTTGTATACCTTTCCCGAGCCACCTCTACCCACAAGGTTATTGTTTGTAAGACCACAAAGAATGTCTTCAACATTATAACTAATGGGTTGGAAGGTTGTTAGCTTCCACTGTGGAGATGGAGCCTCATGCTTTTTCCTAGACCTAATCTTAATGAAACAAAAAATCCCTGTGAATACGAGCATTGTTGAACCAAGGATTAGGAAAATGATTATGGGCCTTTTCAAATGTTTGTCTTGTTCTTCTGGACCTGGTTGTGTGCTACACATAGGATAGTTGCCAAAGTTGTAGGAGCAGAGACCAGGATTGGATAGAAAGCTCTGCTCAAATTCGTTTATCTGAAAAACAGGTGGAATATGGCCTGTCAGTTGGTTATTAGAGAGATTGAGGAGGTAGGTCTCAGATATATAAGGCTTGCTGGTATTGGGCCAGAGAGGTGGTTCTCTGAGAGATCTATGGTATCAATTGCCATACTTAAATCCACGGTGTCTAGTGGGATGTTTGGGATCTCACCAGAGAGATTGTTTTTCCTAAGGTCAATCTTCTTTAGGTACTGCATGTACCAGATCCTTGAAGGTAGTAACCCTGATAACATATTTCCAGCCAGGACGAGGACTTGCAAAGGTGCATGTAGGATGAGGTTTGTTGGGACTTCACCAGAGATGAAGTTGTTTTCTGCCATTAACATATTTAAGTTGTCTGCTGACATTGGTAAGGTTCCAGCGAATCTGTTATTGCTGATATTAATTGTTGTTATATTTGAACTCAACTTACTTGGCAGTGAGCCAGAGAAACCATTTTCCTGGATCATAATCATAGTCAACTCTGGCAGTGACCATAGGCTGCTTGGAAAACTGCCTCTAAGCTGGTTATTGTTCAAGAATATGGACCTCAATCTCCTGCAGCGCAAGAGAGACTTTGGGAGTTCACTCGACAATCTATTATTGGAGAAATCAATGTACTAAAGGGCCTGAAATGAGCAAAGGCCCTCAGGTAGCTTCCCAGATAAATTGTTAGATGAAATTTCAATATTAAAAAGCATGGAATGCTTCCCCAGCTCATTGGGAAGTCCACCGGATAGAAAGTTGCGTGAGAGTTGCATATCATGGAGCATGGGAAGAAGTGCAAAACCATTCGGAATCAAACCTGAGATATTGTTGTCATGCAACAAAAGGAGGGTCAGGTTCTTCAGCTTACCAAAATCCTCTGGTATCCTTCCTGTGAGTAGGTTGTTTGAAACATTGATCTCGGTGAAACTCATTGCTTCAATTGGTCCACTTATATGACCACACAGAGTTGTTGACTAGATAGAGCATTTCCAGACTTCTCAACCTCCAAACCCTACTAGGAATCATCCCATTCAATCTGTTAGAAGACAAGTCGAGTAGCCTAAGTTGACTCAGCAGAGACATGGTATCTGGAATTTCACCAACTATATTCATGTTGCTCATCCACAAATATTTTATGTTGCTCAGATTCCCAAACTGTGGATGCATCCTGCCTGGAGCAAAGGGATTATAAGCAAGAGATAAAACTTGAAGTTCTGAGAGATTTCCAAGCTCTGCTGGGTAGCTTTCATTAAAATAATTGTTATCAAGGTGGAGAAATCGAAGACCATGAAGCTGGCAGATTGCACTTGGGATGCTGCCAGATAAGCTATTTGATGCGAGGTTCAGATAGGCAAGCTTTGGTGACAATTTATGGATGTTTGCAGGAAGAAAACCAAACAATGAATTGAATGAGAGATCCAGGTGCTGAAGTCTAGAGCAATTGAAAATAGATGTACGGAAAGAACCTGATATTTGGTTCTTGGATAGATCGATGTAAAATAGATTCTTGAACGAGCAAATTGCTTTTGGAATTGGCTTGTAGAGGTCACGGCCAGCAAGTGATAAACCTGTTACAAAGCCATCTGTGCAAATGACGCCTGACCAATCACAATGATCGGTGTTTGTGATGGAACTCCAGTTCAGAGCCGCAGGCTTGCCCCAGTCTTGCTCAAGCTTTAGAAGCGCTGCCTTCTCAGAATCCCTAGTGATGGACTCACAATTAGATTTGAGGATATGAATATTGAGGAGGACCAGAGTTAGCATGAGGATGCCACGAACAAGGTAGAGACTAGCCATGATACTTACTAGAAGATGTTGTTAAGTTCATGTATTCTATACAGTGAATCTGAATGAAGACCTTGCAGTCAAGGTTTACTGATCAGTCAAAACATGTCACTGTCTTTCTATTATTGCCTTTGAATAATTCTATCGACACTACGGACTGTTGACTGCTTCAGTTCCTTGAGATGTTTTTTTTTCCCGAAAACACAGCAAGAGAGCAAGTACAGAAAAATCAAACAACGGACAACAAGAAAAGAGGATAAACTACTAAGAGAAAGGGCACACTAAGGCCCCTGCTTCCCAACTAAATGAAAAAAACGACCACAATACAGCTCGGGCCTCCTCTAAACTCATAGAAACTATTTCCCCCATTTTGTGAACCATTTTTTCTAGTTGCCAGCTTGAACATATTGATCTCTTCCTTAGAAAGGCTATTTGAAGAGGTTGCAAAGATACACGCTAGAAAATTCTTTGATTCCGCTCCTTCCAGATATTCCACCAAAAATAAACCAAGATGCCATCAGTTCCTTGAGCTGTAAGTAGAGATGTAAACGGATCGGATATGGAGGGTTATAAATACGGATAGCTACATTATTCGTCGGACTCGAATTCAGATACAGATAATGTCAGCTATCAGATAAGATATGAATGGATATCAACAAACAATAACATATATATATATGAATTTGAGTATCCTAATTTTGTTACATACAGCCATGTGGGTTTCTGAAAGTAAAGATACTGATCTCTTTAGTCGGATAGTCGGTCAGAAAATATCCATAACATTTTTTTAATGAACCTGGCAGAGCTCTGCCTCTCAATTAAGGAAAGAAAGTGAAAGTGCTATCGGCACGAAACCCCCAAAGGGCCCATAGAGTAAAGTAAAGCACACAACACACATGTCCTAGGGGATAGATACAAGGTCTAAGTCAGGTTGTTGAAGACCCTAGAGCATAGGTCGATGTCCTCTTTGGTTTTGGAGGCTACCTGCCAGACATCCATCACCAAATTTTAGAAAATCCTTCTGTTTCTTTCCTTCCAAATGTTCCACATTGTGTAGATGACCACCCCGTTGAAGTGTCTACATCTCTGCCTTGGGATGTTGGCCGCCCCCTGTTTCCACCACGCCCTTATGCTAGATGGCTGCACCTGAGGCCGAATTAAGTCCACATCGAAGTGTTCCCACCCCAGCACAAGGCGCAGCACAAGTGGAAGGGCTGTTTCCAGTGGTCCATTGCACAGCACGCAATGGTCTTGGTGTGGCCAGTTTCTTAGCTACAAGTTGTCTGCCGTTAGGATCTTGTTTTGTATGAGAATCCAAGTGAAGACTTTGCATTTGTTTTCGGCATGTGCCTTCCAAATAAGATCCTGGTGGAATCTGCGGTAGGATCCTTGGAATTGTATGCGGTATGTTGATTGGGTTGAGTAAATGCCATCTGTTGACCACTTCAAAACAATGGAGTCCCGTATTCCAGGCTGCAGCTGGATGCTCTGTACCCTGAGCACAGTGAGACGAATTCCTCTAAGTGAGTGGCTGTTGTGATCCTACCTCTGAGCAAGCAAATCTAACTGTTATTGTGGAGCTCTTGTTGGACCGTTCTGTTTTTCCTCTTAACAAGTTCAAAGAGCTGTGGCGCAAGTTTTTTGGGAGCTTCACCGTCCAGCCAACTATGATGCCAGAACTGTGCTTTCTTACCATCCCCGACCATGACGATGGTTGAGGCATTGAAGAGGAGTCTATCCGCTAGTTTACAAGGCAAGTCCATACCAGCCCAAGGTTTGGAGGGATCCTGCCACAGCCAACCCAATCGCAACGCTCTCCAAAATTTCTCCAAGTCTGGGACCCCAAGGCCACCAAGCTCTTTTGGTTTTGACACTGTCGGCCAGTTGACAAGGCAGTGACCTCCATTTGTGTTTTCTTCCCCTTTCCAAAGGAATGACCTGCGGATTCTGTCAATCTATTTTTTGGTCTAGGCAGCAAGTGGGAAGACAGTGAGTTGGTAGGTAGGCAGGCATAGACGATAGGACCAAAGTGACCAGAGTTAAGCGTCCTGCTTTGTTTAGCAACTTGCCCTTCCATCCCGGTAACCTCTGGCCGATTCGCTCTATGAGGGGTTGCATGTGTACTTTACGCAGTGGCCTATAGTGCAGCTGTAGACCATGGTAGCGGCACGGAAAAGTGTCTCTGGTCCCTGAAAAGGACGAGAGAACATGATCAAGGTTGATATCTTCGCATCTAATCGGGTGGACGGAGCTTTTATCCATGTTTATGCACAACCCAGACACCTTCCCGAATGTCTCAAGAATGATCTTGACGGCGTCGATGTCCTCTTTTTTGGGGTTTACAAAGATTGCAGCATCATCAGCATACATGGACGTTCTCCACTTTACCGCAACAAGAGGCAGCTGCGTGAGGACGTTGTGGCTGGTGGCAAGGTTCAACAATCGCTGCAATGGGTCCATGGCTAAGATGAAGAGCATAGGTGATAGCGGATCACCTTGGCGCACCCCTCTTGCGTGGCGGAATTTTCCTCTAGGCACGCCATTTAGCAAGGCTCTAGAGGCTACTGTGCAGAATAAGATGGAGATCCACTCGCGCCAGCGATGCCCAAACCCGAGAGCTTGCAGCACCTCAAGCAAGTAGCTCCAGCTGACCGTGTCGAAAGCTTTCTGGATGTCGGAGCTTCATGAAAAGTGTCGGGGTTTTGGACGTGTGCAGGCGCTTCACAGTGTTCTCGATGTAGAGGAAATTATCATGTATGCTTTTTTTATGAAGGCACTCTGCCATTTTGACACTAGGGAGTCCAGCAACGGTGCCAGCCTGTTTGCAAGGATTTTGGAAAAGAGCTTGGTGATACTGTGGATCAGGCTAATAGGTCTGTAGTCCGTGACCCGCCTTGCGTTAGGCTTCTTGGGGAGGAGGATGATGTTGGCTAAGTTAAGGAGGTCAAAGCCCTATGAATTCATAACGAAGAGAGCATTGATAACCGCCACTACATCGGACTTGACGATTTCCCAACATGATTTGAAAAAGGCCCCAGTGAAGCCATCTGGGCCCGGAGCCTTGTCTCCCGGCATGGAGTGGATGGTTTCCTTGATCTCATCTTCGGTGAAGGGGGCTTCCAGCTCTGAGAGGTCGCAAGGGCTGTACCCAAGAGCGGACCACAAGAGGGTGGCCGGTCTCAGGACCACGGTGCCTAGGTGGTTCCGGAAGTAGTCGCCCATTACCTCCTCTTTGTCTTTGTGCGTGAGGGCAATCCCATTGTCACTTTGCAGGCACTCGATGTAGTTTTTTCTGGCTCTTGAACTCGCACGAATGTGGAATAGTTTGGTGTTGGCGTCACCGCATTTGATGTTGGTGAGGCGGGATTTTTGCCTGATTCTGGATTTCTCTATTGCTGCAAGGCCCATACTATGAATTTTTAGCTGTCGCCTGAGTTGTAGTTCCTCCTGAGATAGGGATCTGTACTCCTATGCGGCCTCAAGTTGCAGGAGGATTTCTTTTACTAATGCTAGCTGCAGCCTTGTATCACCTATTTTCTCTTTTCGCCACCGTTTGATGCCATTTGCGACCCGGGATAATTTAATGTGTAGCCGTTTGAGAGGTTGGGTTGACGCCATGGGTTGGTTCTGTTAGGTTGATCTCTAATCCCAAACTGGGCCCAACAGCCCAGTGGGGCCTTTGATCCACGCCCTGATCGAGGGCGCCTAGCCCACTATGGCTGGAGGGCCCCTGTGACACTGCGCAATAAATAGAGGTGGGGGCCGACGGCTCAAGTCACGAGGTTCTCCTGAGCCGAGCTCCCCACCGACAAACCCTAATCCGATCTAGAGGGCGCGCAGCCAGTGACAGGAAGCCACCAGCCGCGCCACCACTGGACTACGTCACCGCCACCCGTCTTCCCTGACCATTGCTGCCCTAGCGCAGACATCAACTCCATGGCGGACGCGAGCGGATCCTCCTCCACTGCGGTGTCAGGTTTGACATGTCCATCTTCTACCCCTCCCTTTCTCTCGTTCTACCTACTATTACTTCACTAGTAGATGTTCTAGGATTCATGATTCTTTTCAACAGCAAGTACCCGGCTAGATCTATGCTCCTAGTGATCCTATAGGTATAACAATGGTACTAGAGCCTCGTTTAGGTATAGATCTAGCTTATCAGTTTAGATCCGTTCGGATCTGAGAAAAGAACAGAGGGTCACCGAACCCTAACCCTCGAAACAGACTCGGGGAAGAAGAGAAAAGCAAAACCCTAACCCTAACCAAACCCTAATCCCCAAATTGGACTAATCCGAGAACACAAACAGAGAAGCAAATCAGAGGGGGGTGTTGGGGAAGGGGAGGCCTACCTCACCGCTGCGCTGCGCTGCTGCCTCGCCGCTGTGCGGGGAGAAGAAGGCCGAGCCGGGGGCACTGCTCGCCGGGCTCTAGCTAAAGGGGCCCTGCGGCCAGGCCGCTCGACGGCGGCGCGCTCACCCGCTGGGGAGCACGCACACCGGTGAGGGGGCCGGCAACGGCACCGGGGCTCTCTGCTCGCTCTCGTCGTCGTTTGCTCGTCGCTCGGGCGATTCGGGGCTGAGAAGGGGAGAGAGGAGAAGGCCGAATGGTCGCTAGGGTTCGGGGACCGCGGACAGGAGAGGGTTTTTGTTCGACCGAAACGACCGGACGACCGTCGGATGTGATCTGACGGTGATGGAAGAACGGGCCAACTCGCGGCCTAGGCCCACGTTGCGGCTTGGGTGCGGCCGAGCGCCGCGCAGAGCAGTGGGCTGAGCCGGTTTTGGCCGAGAAAGGAAGAGCAAGAGCCCGGTTTCGTATTATTCTTTTTCCAGAAAAATTGAAAAATGGAAATTGGCTCAAAAGAAAATAGAAAATGTATTTTTTCCCTGTGGGTAAAATTCAAGAAAATGAGTTCATTTTTTCCACTGCGTATTTTAAAGTTGTTATTTTCATTATTAAATTCGAACCAACGGGAGAATTTAATTTTGAAAAATGGATATGTTTTTAGCTTA